TCCCTTCCAACTGAAACCATTCTATGATTCTATGACAACTTCTCCCCAGGCTCCCTGAGGACCTGGTCCCTGTCAGAAATTGGCTGCATTGCTGCTGTAGGGCGTGTTTTCCCATAGCTCAAGTTCCAAGTGCCCGTTGGGTCTTCAGTCAGGCCAACTATCTGTATTTGGCACATGCAACCACTGAGCAGTAGGGGGAAGAGACAGAAAGGCTGCAACACTGAGCTACAAAGGGCATTAGCTAAAGGGAATGGGGAGGACATGAGGCATAAATTAAGCCTACTGTGTGAGATCCAACAGACCTCCATTCTTATGTCAGCCACTTATTTGTTAGGTGACTGTCACACATGGAAAGTGGGAAAAGCTCAACCAGTATCTTCATTTATCAACCAAGCAAAATTTCTGGAAGACTTTTCTTCTCATGGAGCTCAAAGTACTTTAGAACCAAATAGTAAGCGTTCCGGTTTGACAGACATGGCAGCCAAGTCAGCAATTGCTAGTGGGTCACATCATTAAAGAAGGCTGCCAATGGTTTTCCACTCTCTTGGTGTGTATTTATTCAAATTATCTTCTTTCTTAGAAAAACAAAGAAAGAAGTCTCCCAAAATAAGAACAACAACAACAACAAAACCCCCATACAAGCACACCATTTCTCATTTTTGTCCAAAAAATAACAACAGAAAATTCTTACTAATGTATAACAAGGTTAATTCCAGAAGGAAGAACAGAGACTTTTCAGTTCCACTTCTGGTGCAAACACTAAAAAGCAATTTATGGTCTAGGAAGAACACACAAGAGCAACTGGTTGAAAGTTCTCTTGTATTTTAATTAAACATTTGACAGTCATTGAAGAGAATCTGCACATTTACCATCTGCTTTTACAGCTGGAATGATATTCAGAAGACCAGCACAAGGCACATTATAGGCATTAAACTTTGCAGAAATAGCAACGAACACTCATTACTTGTGGGGGTTAATTTAATGTAACCTCAAGTGTCATCTTTCTCCTATGTCAGGTCGACAAATGGAAGGCTCTAACCTTATTAAGTGGGTGTTTTAAACTGATGTGCTGCTGGAGGTAGTAACACAGAGGGGACTTAGCTACCCTATGTAGTAATACATACTGCTGAAAAGCTTTGCATTGTGGTTGTTATCACACAAGGTAACTTCCCCCTGCCTGAAGTTAGGCTAACTTTAGCTAGTGCTATCACGAATACAATCCCAGAGATAGCAACTGGGCATTTCAGCACTTTCTGCTGCCAAACAGGCACTTGCCAAGACCAGATCAATGATTGCACAAGAAGCAGCCCTTGCCCTCCATTCCTGGAACGGCATTCCGGCATAGCAGGGCACTCTGCAAATAAGCAAGAAACCCAGATACTCCAAGTCCTTTCTTAATCAAAGAAAAATGACATTATTTTTTATATCTCTTACGAATCTCTGGTCTGAGGTGGAAAACAGCTGACAGGAGCAGCATGGACATCCTTATCTGCCCCATGTGGCGTGGTCACTTACCCTAATTTAAAATAATAATGTAATGAGTAACTCCAGTGGCTGTCAAGGCACCTTATCTGAGACAGAAAATTCATTCCTGGGGGTAAGGTATATTCCTTCAACTGCATGGCAGGAAGAACAAAAGTCTAGAATGGCAGTAACTCCCATGTGTGAAACATATTCAACTTTTTTGATCACAAATGGGCTGACATACGAACATCAGCTCTTTGGAATGGCTGAAAAATTAAGCATGAATAAATTGCAACATAGAAAGAACAAGGCTAGGCTATTTCCTACTGTTATTTCTTTCAGTGTGCAGTATTTGAGCTGCTCAATTCTCTCTCTCTTTTAAAAAGTCAAAGACCCTGTGATCTTACTGGAAAAAAGAATCCACATAGTATTGTGTAGTGTTGTCACAATGGCTTTCATTTATAGCCAATTAAAACTAGAAATAAGCACTCAAAGCAGAGACTATTTCCTTCCCACTTTTCTGTCTGCTTGCAGTTGTAAAGCATGCATATATAGATTTCCTTTGCATTATTTCACAGCCCACTAACTAGTGTTTTATGAACCGCAGTGGTCTGTGGACCAGTAAACCTGGTGCCATTTCTGCTTCCCTGCTGGATAACCTAACCTACTTCTGTCACAATTTAAGAAGTTACAGAATTAAGAGTGAGATACAATCAATCGTCCCTGAAGAGTTTTGTTTAATGTTTCTATAAATATGAACAAAGTGACTGAAGAGGAGCTCAAGTATGATAAAGATAAAACTCTTCAGACTTCATACAGCACAAATGTGTTCACACAATCTACAATTAGTCACCCTAGCTCAATTATGGGGACTAGAGGAAGAAATAAAGATGGGGAGCTCCTTCATAGGATTTAGGTAAAAAAGCACAACCTCTGCAGTTAGTGTGCTCATACTACAGCAGCAAGCTTCAACAGCTGCTACTGTTACACAGTCATCTGGGTTTTCTTGCTGTGTGAGGGGAAACTTGGGAAAACTTGCTGGACATACATTGGCTTATACACGCCTGTATGCGAAGGAAAGTCAACTCTCTCCCATCCTACCATCTTGGGATCTCACCTGATGTCTCCATAGCCTCTACTCTTGTTGGAGAAATGGGCAGCCCTTCCCTGAAACCTGGACATTTGGGCTGGGTTGAGATGACAGGAAGAAGTTGTCCTGCATGATATATGGACCTATTGGAAGCATAAGGAGAGAGTCAAATTCCAAGCCACCAATTCACCTTCCAAGGGTAGAATCTGCAGGGCCCTGGGTATCTGCTAAAAGTCACCAGAGGGCAATGCTAAAGTCAAAACAGGATGTTAGCTTCAGAAGAAGGAGCCCCATTGTTTTCTGTCATTGCAGTCACCATAAACTCCTCTTAACTAATAAAAATACTAGCCCATCATAGAAGAGAGGGTGCATAAAATCCTCATGTCATTAAATAAGAATAAAAATTATTCACAGCCAGTGGCTGAGAACCAGATTCAAGAGCAATACCGGCTTTGCAAGTTCTGTGAACACCCTTAATTCCCTATATTTCAGATGTAACTCATGGGTCAGTTCACATTATTCACAGTTTGCATCTAATGTAGACAAGGACCACGCTTAACACAGCCTTCCTTTCTTGGATTCAAACTTTGGAGTTAGTCTTTTTTAGCTCTTTCTTGTGCTAGCCATCAACTCCCGGCAAACAGCCCCTCTGTCTTCAAAAAGTAGGCCTCTGTTTCTGAAACAAAGTCAAACAGAGAAGCTAGTGGTTCCTCCTGCTTTATCTCCATATGCAGGAATTAGAAATAAGCACTGTCAGCCAAGAAACTGTAGGAAAACGAGCACTCTCTGTAGTAACCTTTGCTTGACCAGCAACTGCATTGGATATCCAGCTAGGAGCATTTGCTCCAAGTGTGATGTTTCCCATCATTGTCCAAAGAAAAAAAAGGTTTGCAAGTGAAAGCCTCTCCAAGCCAGTCTTCCAAGAGAAAGCATAAGCACATCAGTAATTAGGACATTAAAGAACAAATAGTAGCAATTGTCCATGTGGCACTGGCTGGGAAATAAGCTAGGCAATACTGTCATTGATACTGGCCAATCTCTAGTACCTCTGGGTTACAAAATAATTAACAAGATGCTCCAAAATCTTCTTGCCAACAGCTGAGTCTCTTGAATCCAAGAAGTGCCTTTGGCAAGCCAGTTTCCCGTGGAAGCATCCAGCATCCAGAGAACCTCTCTTTTTCCAGCACATTTTAAATGAAAACAGTGGATGAATCACATCAAGGAGAAATGCCAAGTTCTTCTCCTTCACAACTGGTCTCAGAGCATAGAGAAATTCTGTGTTCTAGTTGCAAGGTGAGAGATGAGAAAACCCTGCAATCTAGCTACAGATCAGATGCACCACATATGCAGAGTTGGTGTAAGTGTCAGGGTAAAGATCAAGAATAGTAAAAATGGTGACTGTAAGACTTCTTCAGAGCCCTTTATCCCATCCCATGTATATGATGGCACAGAGAGCAAATGGAGCATATAAAATGCATGGAAAAGAGTACACGGCTTAGGAAAGATATATCCACCAAAGTCACGCTTCCTAGAGTTGAAGGAAATTCTGGTCCATAGTGTGAGGGACAGTAGTCATACCTTGCTCAGTCCCTGTAGGGACAGCCAAACCTTGGTAAATTTAGCCCTTTAAGTTTACAGATAAATTCAAGTCTGAGTTAAAGGCTAGAACAAATATCTTTTAAGGCACTAAGGTCTAAGTGTAAAGTAGGGCAGGTTGTTTCAGTCAGTATAGGGAGGATAAGCTGGCAATTTGCAGATGTGCTAGTGAGCCCTTATTCAGGCAGTCAAACATCCTTCCAACACTGTGATCCTTCTTTTTGGGAGAGAGGCTTACTGGGGACAAAAGGAAGCAACTGCCCAACTATGCTGAGCAGGCAGGCAGAAGCAGCAAACATTACACATTCTGAAGCACAACAGAGGTGCCTTAGAAAGGAGATGCTATGCCTCCCTTCACCGAACTCTCAGGGGACCGGATCAGAGGACCTCCAGAGGCCTCTTCCAACCTAAATTATTCTACTGTCCTGTGACTTTACAACTCTGTGATCATGGGAGCCCTTCTCCAGTAACTGGTGTGCAAAGGATGAGCATTCTATGGACTGGGCTTCTCACAGTGCCAGGAGACCTAACAAAGACAACGGGTATCTCTCTTTAAAGATTGGGAATGTACCATTTACTGAAAAAATCTGCTGTTTCCAATAGAATGTTTTGAACGGACCACAGACCATTGCAAACCTAAGTTTCCAAATCACAGCAAGAATAAAAATGGGTTATGTATTGCTTTCATGGGCACTAGACATAGATTCTTCAGAGTTGTAAGTCTAAGGGCAAGCTGCTTCATCTGGTTTTTTTGCTGGTTGTCTGTTCAATCAAAAGCAGCCATCCCAACCTACATAGTAGAAAAGCTAAGAGGAGTCCAGTGGGAATCTTAGTTTTTTCAGTACTGGCATTAAATTACTATGCTTCTTCCACTGTGGGAACTTCCTCTGTCCTGTAAGAGAAAACAAAACATTCAGGAACAAGGAAGTATGAATGAAAATCATATGTCTTCCTACCTGCACCATAACAAAACCATTCATACATACACACATCCCAGCGGGGACTAGAACTGCACTTCCTTCCAAAACTCAGAAGGGAAGATGGTAATGTGCAAAATACAGCCCTTTGAGAAGACTCCCACCTGGTAAAATTCTGCATATATGTGATAAGGGACACTTAACATTTTTTTTATTTAAAAAAACCCTTCATTTTTTAAGGGGGAATACCCTGTTTAACTTGGAGACTAGCAATTGGATATGAAGCTTTTCACACTTAGGTTGCTCCCTGAAATCTAGTCCCAGTGTAAACTGACAAGATGAGCTGTGAACAATAGCTGTTCACTGCCCATATAACGCATGTTCAGTTCTCAGGAGTCCCAGCAAGTGAGCCATTCTCTTCCACCTGGCCTGGAGGATCACACATTTCTTACCACTATAGCCACACATGATCTTAAAGCTTATTTCATGTAGCTTTAGGCATCTTACCTGGATGCTTTCGCATATGAACCATCTTAAAAATATCACCAAGATACTATAAAAATTAAATGTTGGAGATCAACAATAGAGGAATCGTGCACATGTTAAAGGAAATCAGAAGTAAGCCAACATCAGAGAGGGTTGCAGAGGGATACTCAGTACTGCTGCCTACTCTAGAACTGCTTTCTCCCCAGGCAGTGCCAGAACAACTACTCTAACACCAACACATACATAGAGCCCCAAATGCCTCCAGGTGGGGATGGGAGCGAGAGGGTATAAGGTCACGCAGTGTTGGATGTGATAGGTGACCTCCTTTATTTGACTGCTCACTTTGCCCCTGAACACACTATAGCCATGCAACGCATGCCTGAAGGCCGGGAACTCGGCAGCCTCTTCGTAACCCAGCTGCGTAGGGCACCCAGCATGCCTTGCCATCCCTTTGATAGGCAACAGGCTGCAGAAAGTAACAAACATTCACTCTCACTCCCCAAAACACACCTCTTCCCTTAGATGGGAAAGTAAAAAGGCAGCTGACTCACCGAGCGTGGCCCTGTACTACCTTTGTGCTTCTTGTCCTGACCTGGGATGATTTCTAATGAACGATAACTGGGGGGTTTATCTTCTGGCCATTCCCGAGACCTGTGCCGCAGCCTGCGATTTGTCGCTGGGAGACGGACTTGCTCTTCTGAGGAGCTCCACGACCCACGGCGAGAAGGGGGAGAGTAGCTGTGCCGCCGCTGACCTGAGTTATTGCTCCTCCTAGTGTGGTGCTGGTAGTCTCGCCTCCCTGTGGGCTCCTGTCTCCAGCCACGATGGTGGCGGCTGGAGCGCTCCTTGGCCTCCTCTGGATAGAAACTGCAGCTGCTGCTGCTGCTCTTGCCCCTCTCAGCCTGGCGTGGGGGTGACACATCCCGTCTGGAGTACTGGGGCCTGCCATTGTAGCCGCCTGTCCTCTGCCTCTGAGCATGGTTCTCTTGCTGCCTGTCCCAGGGCTCCCGATTGTAGCTGGAATGAGAATCCCCACTGGAAGGCAAGGGCCACCTCCGGTTTTCCCTCCTGTCCTCCACTGCAGAGTCCCAGGGTCTGGGGGCATGGGCAGCTCTCTGTGGCCGTGAGGAGTTGCTGCTCCCATGGATGGAAGAGATGTGATCAGTGAGAGGAGGTGGCATGATCTCAGAGCTCAGGGATGACAGCAAGCTGGGCTGCACAGCCTGCTGCTGGTGGGAAGGTGGCCGGAGCTGTGACATGTTCATGTTTTGGATTTCGGACTCCAGATAGTCCAAAACACCCTTGTTAGGGGAAAGCTGAGCTTGTGGCTGCACCAGTGGAAGACTGTTCTGCAGAGACACATCTAAGGATAAAAGCACAGGAGAACACAGCAAGTCAAGAGGAAAAAATAAACAGACGGCTCTTCTGCACTAATAATCCTGGCTGAGTCTCTTTTGAGCCTCTCTCCTCCTGCTCCTCCTCACTGCAAGAGCTGCACGAGTCTCAAGCACCGCAGCCAGCACATCCAGACCACGCAAGGTAAGGTGCAAAGAGTAGTAACTAGTAAGTTGCAGCATGATCTGTGTTTTGGGCACCGCAGAGGTAAGAAATGAAAGTCATCCAGCACGTGTGGATATACAGTTTATGTATTTAGAGAGAGGAACATTTTTTTCCTACAGCATTGATGCCAAATTTTATTTTTAAAAAATCAGAGAAAGTTCATAGTGTTTTCTCTTATACCTCATTGAACTGGAATAAATATGAACCAATGCTGCAAAAGAAAAAGAAATTTTTATATGTATGCACATATACAGACACACATGTATGAATAGATTTAAGTAGCAAATGGAGAAGTTTCTTCACTAGGAGACTGGTCCAGCTCTGGAACAGTTACACAAAGAAGTAATGGAATCTCCATCCTTGCAGGTTTCCAAGACTTGGCTGGACAAAGCCCCAGCTGATGTGACTGAGGTTGCTGACAGTTCTGCTTTGAGCAAGAGGTAGGACTAGGTAACCTTAGAGGTCCCCTCTACGCAACATCTCTAAAAAGCTGACCTGAAACAAGTTTAAGGGAAACTTAAGCACAGGAGATTCAAGGACTGTGAAAATATAGGCTAAGAAACTGCCTGAGGAACTGACTTGCCCATTTTCTGCCAGCATGCACATGGATTTCCTTGAGAAGATTCAGTGTATTCTGTCTTAAATCATGGTGGCTCAGTCACCAGGTCTTCCTAAGGAAAAGCGATGCCTTGACTAGGAAAAATGGTAACGGTACAATTAACTAGCGGGCTAAAAAAGTATATACTCAAACATCTTGAATCTAGCATTTAAGATGTTTGCAAACTATTTCTTCAAACAGGTAAGACTCATCAGACACAGAGTAAATCTGTGACTGCTGTATAGTGATGAAAAATTTCTGAATTTCATCTGAAATATTTTCAGATGAAAAATAGGTTCTATTTATTTGATTAGTCATTATGCTGTATTGCCCTATTTTCCTTGGGCAATTAAATAATATTACTGGTAATAAGTTATTTTATTACTTATTTCTCTAGGTTTTCAGAGACTCTGTCTTCCCTCCTCCATTAAAGTTACAAATAAATACCACTAATACAAGCAATTTTGGGGCAGAACAACTGGAAAATTCTTCCTGGTTCATTAAAGAGTCCTTCATTTTTTGCTGCATGCAGGCTAGATCTATTGCACAGAAGGCAGTTTGCCCTTAATCATTTGAAGACTAGACATTTGATAAGAACTCAAACAAATTGCACCTCACTTGTCATGTCAGTTTTGGCTATAAGGAGTTGACCGTGACCAGCACAGCAGAACAAAGAGACAGTACTCTCCTCTACCACATGAAGCGAGATAAGCTGGGTATATTTACCCTGCAGTTGTTGGGGTGTAGCACAGATGTACCTTAGTTAGCATTAAACTACTTCACCCAACATTGAGCTTAGCAAGGCACTTAAGATGGATAGGCTGTATTTATCCACCCAGGTAAGTCTATAGCACGCTGCAGATGTAGCAGAGCTGTCATGCTAGGACATCGAGTCCTGCTAGGAACATCCTTCTCTCTTTTGTAGCAGAGAGGCTAAAGCCTCACCGCTGAACCTCCCTGAGAAGTTACCTGTTTCTCATCCTGATTTCCCTCTGAAATGATGCCCATGGTCTTACCTTTTTGCAGTAGAGGGTTCAGCTGGTAAGAGGAAAGTTGCGAGTTCCTGTCGCCACCTCCATAGAACATGTTGGGTGACATCCAAGGTGCAAGTGCCCGAGCCTGCTTCATGAACCGGTGCCGTTCCAGTACTGTAAAAGGAAGAAGAAAGCTTACAGCAGCTATCCGGAGAGAACAGCTTGCAGACCACATACTGTTTTGCCTGATGGACTGTAGCCTTTGGATGTGATCAGATAGAGGAAATTCACAGAATGAAGAGTTCTCTCCACCCTATGACAAAGGTAAAATAGAGCACAGGAAATTCCAATACAAAGTTGTATAGCTTCAAAAAGATACCTAAAGCAGAAGAAGAGGGTTACTGCCTGACATTCAGGGTACAGCTCCAGCAACTGGGAACAAATGGCACTATGATTAAGTACACAGCACAATCAAATGCTAGACTTCCACCTGCCCTGTCATTATGAGTACAGTTGCGAAAAGGTGGGAAATAATGTTTCACACAGCAAGACATACCACACTGTTTTCTCTCTCTTAAAACTCTTTCAGCTCATCATTGGTCCTTTCCCCCTTTTGGCTTTGATTTACAGCTAAACAAGACCTTTTTCTGCCACCTTCATGTAGTGTCTGTTCAGATCATATTTCCCACACCATACTCCATCATTTCCTCTCTGTTCCACAAACAGGGCACTCAGAGATGCACTGTCCAGCTTCTCCCTTTCTAGTCTTTCAACCACTCTTGTCTCTCTAATTTAACTCAGCATGACTCTCAGATTAAATCCCTTAGGACAGAGTGATCAAACTGGTGAATAAACTACATTTCCTGTTCTCAACAGCAACGTCCAGTATGCCAAAAGAGCAACTCAGTGGAAATTTCTCTCTCTCGCTGTTTTTCCATCACTGCTAACTCCAGACCCCTACTCGTGGCGTCAGGCTCCAATTCCACTTCACTTTTTTCAGTGCTTCCATCTCACCTCTACGCAGACAACCTCACTATCCCTGTCTTCAAAACTATTGTTCATTGCTGCTGCTTTTTTGCAAATACCTAAACACATCTTACAGAAACTTACTCCTTCTACCATAGTCAATCAAAACTTAAGTTTATGAGCAAGTAAATTCTGCAAGCCCCAGACCTTACAGAGCCTGACTCTGCATGGTTTGTCTGTCATTACTGGGTGAAGCTTTCCTGCAGCACAGCCTTCGCAAAATTTCTCTTATATGGCTTCTGTGGAGTTTCAGAAGTGTCAGGCTTTTACTGCAGTCTCTCCTCTGGTCAGGCATGAACAGAACAACACTGGCTATACAGTTCAGGAGACAGATAGGAACGTAATTGCCTTTGAGACTTTTACCCCTCTGATAAATCTGGCTGAAGTTGGCTGATGAAATTAAAAGCTATTGGAGGGAAAGAGACAGGGGATAGACAGACAGGTTGACTGCATAAGCCTTGCTTCTTTAAGAAACCAGGCTACAGCTGAGCTCCAATTAATTCTGTCCCCTGGGTTCATCTGCAGCAGGCACCATTTAGACTGCATGCTCTTTGGGACTGAGCTCTCCATTTCAGGCAGCACTCCAGTTATTAAACATGTCCTCCTTTAGCTGTTTCACTGAATTTACAGAGTACCACTTGCAGCAAATCGGACTGACCATGCCTCTCAACACATCCTTCCCTTTCCCCACAGTTCATGCGGCTCCACTTTGTTCTCCACTCCAAACTCCCTCCCCCTCCCCAGCCTGGCTCCAACCGAAGTGAACTACAAAGCTGGAAACTTCAGGGTTTTTAATCCTAATACTCTGATTTTTCTTCAAAGCTGTGTGGCCTGAGGTAGCAGCTTTCAAGCATTTTATGTCAAACATGCTTCATTATTCTTTTTTCCCCAAGGGATTTTCCTCCAGTTTAGGTTTCAAACTTAGAGGAAGAGAGAAAGAGGAAAAAGGATAAAAAGAAGGGAAAGGCCTTATCTCTTCCTTTCCCGTTCCTCCAATTATCACCTTGAGAATGTCCTAGAACCTGCTGAGTGCATGTCCCTGGGTTTTGACCATGGTCTTTGACTGAGGAGTAAAAGACCCAGCAGCTGCGGGCATACCTACTTAGGGTTCCTCTCCTTAGGGTATGAAGGGAGTCACTAGGACCAAAGTCATGCTGTCCCTGTAATTCTCTGATCTCTCCCTACAGTTGAACAAATACAGAATTATCCTTGGAATTCCTTCACTACCTTCATCCTCTCTTCCTTCCCCAGATACTTTGCCTTCCAGTTTGAACCCAATATATACTCTGGTTCCCCACCTGCAGAATGGAAGTAAAGTTACAGATCTCTTTTTAAAGTGAACATATTTATCTGAGGAAGGTCAGATTCACTGTAATTCCAAAACTCATACCTGCTATGAAACTTTGGCAGAACGTCATGTTGTTCCCTCCACTTACTCCCTGCTGAGAAAGGTTGTTCTTCACCTTTGACAGACTTTACAGCTGCTGGGCCAATTACCCAATTAAAAAAAAAAAAAAAAAAAAAAAATTTTCCAACCTAGTCAGACCCAGGTGCAAGTATATCCTATTTTGCACCAATTCATTAGTGGAAGAAGTCCACAGTAGAAAAGGAACTAATAGAAACAGGAGGAGGTCATACGTATATTTACCCTGGTGGGCTTTTCTCAGAGCTTTCCATGGGGAGTGTAATTGGCTTGCTCCTGGGGCATGTTTAATATTTCTGTACACCAATTCTGAATTACTCAAACAATGCACTTCTTTTATTACTAGGTTCAAATTCATGTTAGTTAACGACCTGACTTAAACCACCCAGAACTACCTTGCCTCAATGGCATCTATGACTGTTCAGCAGATCTAGGCTACCCTCTAGTGGCCAATAATGTGGAAGAAATCACCCGTACTGGGCTTAGTTGAGCCTTCTCTTCAGTTGTACGAAACTGCTATTCCTCAGGCCTGTTCTGTAAGAGGCCCCCTGTATTTATCCTCTTGTGGTTTTTAAGGCCTCCAGTTCATTTCTTGGAGTGCAAAAAAGTAAGTCAGAGGCAGGCTGAAGTGAAGAGAAGGTGTGCTAGAGGAGGGGAGCAGGCACAAAGATACCTTACAAAGTGAATAAAGAGGGCAGACAGCTGGGATAGAAATTACAGCCACAGAATCCAGCAGCCCGTCAAGGTGGCTGGAACAGGGAGAGGCTTTGGGAACCCTACAAGAATCCCTCCTACCTATCCTCAACAGGAGGCAGGAAAGACAATAGCAGCAGTCTAGGGTGTGCTATCATCTTCTACAACACAGAAAACCAAAAAGGAGCTCACACATATTCTGAATCCCTGTTTTGATGAGAACTAGGAAGTCTGGAGGTGTGAGTCTTTCATCTCCATCACCTCTCTCTCCCTTCATGGAAACTAATTTTTCTGCTGAATTTCCATAGCCTCCTCAATACCACACATTCTACTTGACAGCCTGTAAAGCCCCCAGAAAGAGTTTTGTTTTGTTTTTTTAGCAATAAGAGGGATGCTCTGTTTGCTCTTTGCAAGGGCTAAGCAAATTACGCTTAGATCTAAAACTCTAAACTCTAAAACAGCTTACTAACTCCCAAGGTATAGCAAATAGCTCTTTCACAAGTAAAGGGAAACCAGAAACACAGCTCCTTGTTCATAAATCCTCTCCTTGTAGCATCCAGGGAAAAATCTGGTGATTTCAGTGATCAATAAATGTATTTGTTGCATTTTGTTCCTGTCAGATTGTGTAAACTGTAGGGGGGCTCAGTCCACTTTGTGTTGCTACTAAGTTTTAGTTACAGGAACACAGAGGTTATATGACCTTAGCAGTCAAAATTCAAACGGTGGCCTCACTAACAGAACAGGGTCTGGCTGCGGAATCTTTATTATTGCTAAAAATGACACACAACAAAGTTTCTCTTGACCCTCAAAGCCTCAGAATGCATTTGCACCATTGACCACCAAGAGAGACCATCTTTCTCCTTTCCTTCTCCTCACTTCCTTCCCCACAGAAAAACAAACAAAACCTTTTTCTTGTGGAAGGAGCAGCTCTGAAAATAACATGAAGATAGAAAATTCCAATTTTTACATAATTACCTCTCAGAGCAACACACTTGCAGGTTAGGCCAGTTTGGAGAGTAGTACCAAGGCATTTGCTTGCCTTCCTCACACTCACAGGCATATGAACCACAAGAGAGGGAAGAAAAGTCCTGAGCTACTCATACAAGAGAGCTGATCATGACCTGGATGACATGAAAGAAGTTGGTAGCAAGATGTGAGTGAGGAGGAACTTCTGAAAGTAGGACACAGAGGAGCAAGATGGGCTCCATGTAGCCTAGCTCCCCTCCTCTAAACTCAGATAAGCTGGTCACGGAGGTCACATTGGCCAAAGAAATGTCTCAGTCTATATGGATGCTGAACTGGAGGGAGAAAGTGGAGCTCAGCAAGCTCCCAGTCAAGCTTTTGTCTTGACAGAAGCCATGAATGGACGCACATTTGCTTGAACCTCACCTTCCTCATTACAGCAGCACCGGGTTGGGCAGCAGACACATGGGACGTGGCAGCAGCAATACTGGGGGCAGCACTGGCACCAGCATACTCCAATCAGAAGAAGGAGGAGGAGGCCACCGAGAATGATGAGGAGTACTGTGAGCCAGTCTATGGGAAAAACGAGAGAGAAAGAGGATCCTGATGTACCTGGGCATAAGTAAGTTACTGAGCACCTCTCCACTGCTGGAGACATCTTGGAGTGGGGAGGAAGAGAACAGGAGGAGATACCTGCCACCCAGGCAACAAACCACAGGCACTTACGGAGAACAATCAGCTTAACTTCTTTGTCCGGATCACCTGAGGTATCTCCTGGTGCTTCCACAGCGCAGTAGTACATGCCATGGTCCCACCACATGACCTCACTGATGACGAGGTCTGCCCCTGTGGGAGAGGGACCGAGAAGTCAGCGGGCTATTTGGGACTGACAGACACTACTTTCAGGCCCCACTCTAAGAAGGCCTTCTGCCTGCAGGTGACATGCAGTACTGCATCTCCCCTCTTCCCAAGTGTAGCCATCACCTTCAAACAATCCCATTTGAGTCCATTGAGAACTCCCGTAAACAGCATTAACTGCCAGTCCCTTTTTTCTTTGTGGTGCTGGAAGGCAACGCTACTTAGAAGCAGGACTAGTTCTGTGTGGAGTGAAATAACCAGCATTCTTCTGGGTGATGGATGTTAACAGATACCAGCTGCTGCCAACCCTACTGGTTTTGGAACACAGATCATTGTCCCTGTTAGGCCAGCCATCCCAATAACTCTTCTGGCAGGAGCAACAGCTATTGCTCCAGGGACAGAAGGGAGCATATAATACACCTGGACAATTATGCAGTACTTCTTAGAAGAAAGAACTGTTTCCTGGCCTCTGGGCTCCTCAGCTTACTTTTGTGCTCTTCAGCAAAATGCTCAGGCATCCTCAGCTCAACCGTAGCTTGTGGTGCCTCCAACACCCTCAGGCCAGCTGGGGACAGGGCCCTTCACAGCTCTTATTCCACTGCCACCTCACAGAATATGGAAGCTACAGATTACATTAGCCATGTTTATGCTTCTCTTCACTTAGTAGGCCCAGATATTGGATAGTTACTGAGTTCACTGCCTGCCTGGGAGGTCAAGTCACTTACGGTTCTGAATGGTGATCTTTCGTTGTTGGTAGTCGATACCCAGCACAGGCTCCTTCTGCCCATACTTCTGGATGACAATGCGCACCTTTCGCTGGCTGTCATTGCAGTCATCAGATGGGTCCTGGCCAAGAGCTAAACCAGCCTGGTATGCTACAAACACACATCACCAAATAAGATGTCAAAAGTTACTTCAAAGGACCAATTTCTATCCCCTTGTGAGCAGCAGAGAAACTCTTGAATGCATGTGTGCATTTGCTTTAGTTTAGTAATACAAGGTATGGCTTCAAACCAGCAAGGACAAGTTGCTTTGGAGTACTCAAAAGCAAACAGAGGTAGAGCCACAGGAATGGCAGCGATTTTGCAAATGCAGGAGCTGCAGAGGAGATGCCTCCTTCACTCACAACTGAAAGATCAACAGTAGAAAGAAGGTAATGGTGGTAGGCAGCTCCCAGTATGAAGATAAACTGCAAGGAAAAAAAGTTGCAAAACTCCCAGGAGTACTGGGACTAAAACAAAAGTGTGTTTATTGGCCAAATAAAACCTCCAGACATACATGAACTGCTGTAGGGATTGTCTCCCTTTCCCTCCTGTAACCCATTAGATGCTATGGAGCTCATAAAGGCAGAAAAGAATCCATCATCTGATTCCAGCTAAGGATTATGTGTAGAGACACCTAACAGAATTAATGGAGGACTAGAGGCCATTTCTGTGCAATGCTCTTATGACAGACTCACAATATAAAGTAACATTGAATTGCCAAGTATTTGGGAGCTAAGATTTGGGGAGACAACTGATACAGTCAGCATTGTCTGTAAAGGGCTTGCAACTAAGAGAGGAGAGCACAAAGCTTGTCAAAGGCTTCTCCGTTGCTGTATCTACAATGGGTCATGAAGAGCAGACCCAACTAAGCAAACACCGTGACCTTCCTGCTCTCTGTCCCTTTTGGGGACTATTAGCTTGAGCCTGGGCTCAAAGCACTTGCATTATGCTGGGATCAGCAGAGCCGGGGACCCAGCTGCTTGTGGACAAGGCTATAGAGCGCTTGGTAACATGCTTACCCAACCCATCCAGGCTGCATAAAGGAGAGTTTGGGCACCAAGACACCAAACAAGTCCACACTCCCGCTCTGAGGTCAGTTTTAAGTGTGCAGTTAAGCTAAGGTTGGCCAGCTTAAACATGCTGCAGGGTTTGAAGAGAAGGGGGGAAAAGGGGGAGAAAGCGGGGGGAGAAAAGAGAGAGAAAAGAGAGAGAAAAGACAGGAGTTGAGTTCAGCTGGAAGGGACCTACAATGGTGATCTAGTCCAAATGCCTGACCACTTCATGGCTGACCAAAAGTTAAAGCATGTTATTAAGGGCATTGTCCAACTGCCTCTTAAACACTGACAGGCTTGGGGATTGACCACCTCTCTAGGAAGCCTGCTGCAGTGTTTGACTACCCTCTCTGTAAAGAAATATTTCCTAATGTCAAGTCTGAACCTCCCCTGACACAGCTTTGAACCATTCCCACACATCTATCACCAGATACCAGGAAGAAGAGATCAGCACCTCCCTCTCCACTTCTCTACTACTGCATACAGTATTCAAGGTGAGGCCGCACCAATGCTAAATATAGTGGGATCATGACCTCTTTTGACCAGCTGGTTATACTGTGTTTGATGCACCCCAGGATGCAATTTGCATACCATTTTAAGAACTATCTTAAACACTCCTGAATTAAGGCTGCACATACCAGAATGTCTGCACATGAAGTGCTGCCACCAGTACTAAATGTTATTACTTGGAAGTCTTTCTGCCTTCCATAATGCATGTTTCTTCTACTTTCTAAAATCAGTAACACCTGGTCACAGGTATCTAGCTCCAACCATGGGGTCCCCCATGGAGTCATAAAGTCCACTTGTTGCAGGGTCCTTGTTTTCAAACATGCTGAAGCATAAGATGGGGCTGCCAAGACTGAGAAGTGTCAAACATGGCTGAGCCTCTCTGCCTTCTGAGTTGATAACAAAAAGGACAAATGAGCTGCTTTGGCTGGGATTTCTGGTTTGTGGGCAGGAAGAGATCAAAAGCCTGTATTACACAGTAAGTCTACCTTCCCCTTCCTTTCTGTTTGAAGAGGGATTCCTTGGAGGACAAGCCTGACACTTACAGACTGAGTAGTAGTCAAAGATGGGGTCCTTGCAGAAGGATTTGAAGCGCCAGGTCACCACCACGTCCTGCAGCTGAGCTGAGGTGCTATAGTCACACTTGAGGACGACGGTGGCAAATAAGGTAGTATAACGCTCAACATCCTGCACTGTCACCAGAAGGGAGAGGCAACCTGCAAATGAGAACACAGAAGGCAGTCAGCCCGCAGGAACAGACCACACATCACAACTTTCACTCTGTACCAGACCAACAATCAAAGTACATCTCCCTTGGCTTCATCCAGGACCTGCACCTATGGACCTCACCAGCCCCACTGGTGAAGCCATACAGAGTTAGAAACGCTGGTTAGAGTATGAGTCCCATCTTTCCCTGACAGAAGGCAGCTTGAACCAGCTGCATTAGCCTGCCTTACAGACTGAATTATTTTCTCCAAAGCAACTATTAGTACTCATTATGTAGCACATCACTCTGTGTTCTCCTTCTGCATGGGGAAAACTGTCCCTCCCAGCTGAGGGAGATAATTTGTTGGGCCCAGAAGCACACAGGATGCTTGTCATCCTAACCAGAAAAATTCTGCAGTGCCATCTGTTCATATAAACACCAAATGAATTTTATCAAGGTCTCGCTAAGACAGTCATCAGAATCGCATCTAATGGTGACCAGGATTAAGACAATACAGCTTTTGGGCTGTAACATCATAGTTAAACTTAATTTGTTTATTGCCACTTCAGAACAACATACATGAATTACAGTTTTTCTCCTTTTTAATGAAGCTGTTGTTATGTAAGTTTAGAACTCATCCATAACAATCTCTACAGCATTTTCTATCCAAGCAGCTGCACCCACTGAGGAATGTTTTACAAAGTTTCTCATAAGCTATGCTTTATTTTAGCCACACTCCAGAGACATCTCTATCTTATTTAAACTTTGATAATACAGTAAGTTGTGCTTGTCATTAACAATAGCGAAGTTATCACCAGTTGCCTTTGATAAGGAAATACAAACAGTGCGGAGCAAGTGTGGGATGCCCTGTCTGGAATACAGCCTGGAGAACAGGGCAGGCGTTGCAGTGCAATGCTAGTTGCTTCTTAACTAGGGAGCACGACAGCAGGAAAGGAGGGAAGGAAAGGGGGAAGCTTGGAAGGTGCCAACTGAAAGGTTCTCCATAAACCAACACTTGACTTTTATTGCATATTCAAAGGCTTTCCCTCTACTCCATGTTTTCAGGATGACAGCGCACAAGGGAACAAGGGACTATGTAGTAACATCTGGACCACAACTGCAAGTATCATTCTTTCAGTGTCCTCTTAGGCTGCACCTCCACAGTACGTTCCAGGCAAATATGAGCTCAGTCAGTTTCCACCCAGTGGAAAACATGCTGCAGAGGTGCAACGCTGCCTCAACAACTAATTCTGCAGTGGGATATCATCAATGCAGTACTCGTTCAGTTTCTGGTTTGAAACGGACTCCTGGTTAGCCAACTCAAAGCACGGGCAGAGCAAACTTATTTGCCTTAAAAATACCACACAAACACACAGAGGACCAGGGTAAACTCTGAGTCCAAGGCTTTTCTGAAAACTAAGATATATGCACATGCACTTAAACACAGAAATACCAGCAGCTGTGCAAAACTCTAGCAAAACCAAGGATCTCCAGTTTTTGTAATGCTGTAGCACAGCAAGGTCCAGACTGGTCACAGGTAGTTACAGTTGCTCTTGTTTTAAGAGCATTGTACTTCAACACATCATGTTTCAGCTTTCTTTGTGAAATAGCTGACCCACAGGATCTTACTGCAGGAAATCACGAGAAACCAACCCAAAATCCAAACTCTCAAGATTGGCAAAACCTTGATTTCATTGTCAATCAAATTAATTCCCATATGAATTCTGACCTGTCAAGGATCATGGAAACAGAACAGATTTTCCATGGTTTCCTACAGCAGCATCTCTCTGGCAAGAATAAAATACTCAAAATCACTATGTGCTTTTCACTTACAGAAACCAAAGCTCTTTATTAAAGGGATCCTTTCTCGTTACCTCTGTTCTGCAAAAGAGTCAGAGTTGAAAAATAAGTTCCTTATTTTCTAATGAGGTTAAAACTCTACTATTCCCACCAGAGGACAGTCGGATGTCTCTGCACGTCTGATGTTTCATACTGATGTCCTCCAAGAAAACTGAAAAGTTGTGAAATTAAGGCTGGTTCCTAAACTTGGACTGCATTACTCCGCTGCACACTGCTATCCTTCTTACCCTGGTTAGAAAGAACAAATCTGGACACTACCAACCTAGTAAGTTACGGCTTCCTCAGGCCTATGGCTTTGCTTTGAAGACACTAACCTTCAGAGCCACTGAAGCCAAGTTTTAGGTAGAATATCATGCAGGAAGGTGGCTGTCAAGCAAGACAATCAACAAGCATACCTGCATATTTTTTTGCTTCTTTTACTGGTTCTCTGTGAAAGACTGAACTTTGGTATTTAAAGTCAAATCATCAGCAAAGACCCAGGCGTCCAAGAAGGAAAACGATCATTGTATTTCCTACAGGAGATCAGAAGCTGTCAGGCAACCTGCAAAGCTTGGCCTAAAGGACTCTGCTTGCTGAAGGCCGCCTGTGGACACGGAGGTGAGCTCCTATTCTCCATAGAAGCATGTATCTAGCAGGTAAGGAAGCTCTGCAGCTACACCAGAACCCCAAAGAGGCTGGGGCGGGCGCCTGTGACAAGCCAAAGGGGAACCCCTCCGTGTTTGTACCCCGTGCTCCGGTCCAAACCGAGCCGGCCGCACACGAGCGATACTGGAGGCTGCCAGGAAGCCGGCGGCCACTTCCTCCTAGGTGAGCAGCTAGCCGCACCTTTGGGGTAACGAAACTCCTCTCCGCATGGCTTTCGCGCCCACCTCGGGAAAGCCCCGCTCTTCCGCCCGGCGGGGAAGGACTCCAAGGGGGGAAAAACAACGCTCGCCCGGGCCAGGCCACCCCTTCCCGTCGCCGCGGGGCCACCGTCGCTCCCCCCCCCCCCCCCCCCCCCCCAGCACCACGTTAACCCCGAGCAAATCCCGACGGCGCCTCCCGGGCCCCGGCCCCCTGCGCCACAGGGGTGTCCCGGGGCGGGGAGGGACCCCGGAGGGGACCGGGAC